CAAGTTTTACATAGGCACCCATTTCTGCTATCTGGCGAACTTGCACCATGACAAGCTCGTCGACTTCCGGATATTTTTGCTGGTAATAACGCATTGTCGGTGCAAGCAATGAAAGCGAAAGTTCACAATTCACTGGTGACTCGTTCAATCAGATGACCAGCCCAAGCCAAAATCTGGGCGCTTTAAACGGGCGCCGGGACTTTCTCCTGGTAAGTACCCTGGCTCGCCGTCGTGGGATTGATATTTGATGTCCTTTCGCTCATTGCTGCGCTCTCAATTGCCCCTTCTGACTCGTTCCATCATGTCAGCATCTCAGGAAGCCAAAGGGCTCTCGTTCGTTCTTCTGGAACCCGGTCAAAACGTCTCTGAAGCAGAGTACCATGGTTGGTCCTTATGTCGTGTTGCCCCTCTTTCGCTCTGGAAAGTGTCTACCTTACAGATTGGTACGACAACGAACATGCCCCAGCCCGGCTTACCATCCCAACTTTCTTCAATGCCGCTCGTTTCAAGGCTGCTGACGGGCAAAAACCCGCCTATCTGACGCTGTATGATATCTCTGAACCTAGTGTCGCCGATGGACCTGAATATCAGGCCGTCAAAGACAACGGTTCGGAAAGAGATAAACGTCTATTGTCAACTGTCCAGTATTTGAACCGACGAGCATACTCTCTGTTCTACTCCACAACCCACCCTAATGCTTTGGCCTCTGACTTTCCTGCAAAGTTCATCGCTTACGCGGCTTTCGAGGTAAAGCCGGAAGATGAGGTTGATTTCAACAAATTTTACGAGGAGGAGCATATTGCCATGGTTGCTAAAGTGCCAGGATGGCTGAGGAGTAGGAGATACATTCTCTCGAATTCCATGGTTCGAGGCTCCGTCGATCCTGAAGTCACTGTGTGCAAGTATCTCATTATCAATGACTTCTCCAGAGGCGGATACATGGAAACCCCAGAAATGAAGGCAGCCGGAACTACTCCTTGGACATTCAAGGTAGCTAGCTACTTGATAGGGAGCGAAATACGTCACTTTGAGCTGCTCAAGGAATACAAACGTCCTGGATGACAGGTTTTGTACGTTTATTTTCAACTCGGATCTCAACTACTAAGGAGCAGGAAGAGCGATCATAGAAGTTTTTTCGGCCTCTTTTACTTTCGTTCTGAGGCCTGCTAAGGACATATTTCGGACTCTATCTTTCGGTGGTCTTGGAGAACCGCATGCAGTTACTTGCCGTACGAATCTTATAGACCCACGGCGGTCGTTGCAATGCCCTGATAGCTTTTTTGCGTAAGTGATAGCAGTAAACTTGAACTCCACGTTGTGCTTGAGCCCGTTTCAATTTCACAGAATCCAGTTGTCTCCAATTCTACAGGGTCAGTTAACGAAATCGAGACAGAGAGCTTCCTATCCCTCACCTAACTATCTTGAGCATGACAAGCAGCGAAACACCAAGATTAAAGGCGTAAAATTGAGAAGAAGTACACGGAAGATAGGCTTTTTGTAGTGTCATGGACAGGCAAAGCACTGGAAAAGGAATCGTAGTCATCTTAAGGCAATGCATCCGATGGATGATGATATTTACACGTTGCAATCCTTTTGTCTTCTTCTCTGCAATTGACATCCGAGATAGGCGACCGCGAATTTTCGGAACTAGGAGCATCTGAATCGAAAGTCTGATTTTGTAATGATTGAAGCCATGAAGTGACGTTATTCGCTACCCGTCGGGTCAACAGGATTCGCTTCGAACAACTGACGATACACAACTGGAATCCGAGAGCTCAGAACAAGAATTTGTATCATCAGGGCCTGGTTGACCCATCGTAAGGAATTCGCGAGGAAAAGACTTTGACCAGTACGCGTTTAATCTTGTAATGCAGTCCTTGATTGGTGATGGTTCAGAATAAAGCATGACTTCCTGGGTATGGAGGGCAGCGAAGGACGGGTATAAACCCGTGAACGCTGGTAACGCGCCACTCTTCAAGTTGTTACCACCATTCTACGATTTCCGCTAGATCTATCTATCTCACATCGCCCTTAAGGGTTATAGGCGTCTCGCCACCAGTCAAGTTCCCTAGTATCCATATCTGACTCTGATAGACGCAATTGATGACTCAATTGACAGAGAGACGTTAATGTTCATCTTTTTTTAAAAAATCTTCATTGCCGCAAGTAAGTAAGTCTAAGTACTAAGGAGCAGGGAGCCGCAACAAAAGTTAGTTGTGCTCCGTTCGCTTTTGTGTTTTCCTTCGTTGGTTGTCTGTGGGGGTTGATGTAGCTACAGGTATCGCTTGTGGTATGTGTGTATTTATGGAAGTGTATGGGGGTTAATGTTCATCATGATAAATATCTACCCTCATCTCAATCTCTATACAGCTATGATCAGCCCGAACCCAGCATACCAACCCAGTAAAATTCAGAGCATATACTTCTACTACATCAATCTACTTTTTGACGTTCCGTTTCTCCAAGGCTTTCACACTAATCACTTTTCCTTTATTTTTCGTAGCACTTCCTGCACCATGTCCCTTCCCCTTCTTACCGGCAAAAGCCCCGCCATTACGTGGTTTCCTTTCCCTCACACGATCTTTACCTTGAATCTTCACTCCTCCCGCACCCTGTCCATCCTGTACACCCCGAGGAGTAGCCATCGCCATTCTCGCCCTCTTCTTCGCCAACCTTCGCGCCATCCGATCTGCGTCCGCCGCCTTGACGCTCTTGCGTTCTTCTTTTGATAGATGGGCCAGTTTAGTGCCGAGGGTAGGGTCGCCTTTCGGTATCGATACCGGAGTCGATGGATTAGACGAATGATTCTGACGCCCTGAAGAGGAAGACGAATTTTTTGGTTTCGACGATTTGGCATTCACTTTGAGCGACGCCCCCGGGATTGTCTTACACCTCTCTACCCGAAGTTTGCGTTTTGCAAACTTGAGTTTACCCGGCTCGAGAGCAGCAGCAAGGATTTCGTCCACGCAGTCACGTTCGGCGAATTGAACGTACGCGAAACCTTTACCCATTTGAGTGTCTTTGTCACGGATTATACGGACGCGAGTAACCCATCCTTTCTTGAGCGGAACTCCGACTGACGTTTCATCCTCCTCCTCTTCGCCTTCGTCGTCATCAGGTTCATTCTCCCTAGCAACTCGCGGCCCTTTCTCCGTACTGATGACTCCCTCAAAAAATGCCCTCACATCCTCCTCTTTACTCTCGAAATCCAAATTCCCTACAAACACACACCGCTTGGGGTCTACGTCACTCCCAGTTCGAATGACTCTTCCTTGCCCTTCAACAGCAGACACATCTACATTGTGCGCTACAACGTCGACCCTCAGAGTGCGTTCCATAAACTCCGACCCGTCGCAGCGCTCCCTGGCAAAATTAGCAGCTTCATAGGGATCCATCACCCCCGGGAGGGGCGGAAGATTGGATCTACGTGCAGAAACTTCACCGGAGGCAGATGAAGGGACAGGATGAGCGAATACGATGTAGGCATTTACACTGGAGCCGGAAGCATGGATCTCCTGATTGATGAACGCAATTTTCTTCTTTTGCGCAGGAGTGAGGAACTGCTTTTCACCTTTAATAATTTCTTCTTCGCCCTTCTCGCCGGAAGATATCTTCCAGGAGCTGGTACGATCGATATCATGTTGCCGCGCTTTGGTAGAAGACTTGGATTTGCCTTTTTTGGTGGGGAGTTTCTCGTCGTCATTTTCAAGGTTCGAAGTGGGTACGGCGAACGGGACAGAACGGAATCGAGTGGATTCAATTTGAGGTTTTACACTGGAGGAGTCCGAATGAATAAGGGAAAGAATGTGTCGATGCAGGGATTTCAGGAGGGACTGGCAAACGTTTAGTATGAATGTTTGAGACATAACATGGGAAAAAAAAACTCACCTTCTTCTGTGAAACTTCGACGCTAAGGTTGCCAATGAAGATGGTTCGTGCATTTCGTTGCTCCGGAGTTTCATCAGGGGGAACATATCTAGTCTTGGACTTGAGCACCTTTTTCGTACGCTGCTTTTTGGTGAGAGATTCGTGCTGAGGAGGAGAGCTGTTGTCTTCGCTGCTGACTCCGTCATGGTCCTCGCTTTCTTCTTGAAATTTATCACCATCATTCTGTTCTTCGTCAGGCGACTCGGGCCCCTTCCCTTTATCCTTGCGTTTCAGAGTTCTGGAGAGGTACGCGTTCTCGAGCTCAGAATCGTTTTCATCCTCATCCGATTCACTCTCCATGGCGGTATCCTCCTCAGCAGGCTTTTTGGAGTTCAATCCTGATGCCTTCTCCGTTTTCTTTCTCGACTCAGCTTTTCGTGGACTGTTTGGATAAGAAGATGTCGCTCCCTTTTCCTGCTCCTCTGTCGACTTGACTCTTTTCTTTTTCAAGTCATACTTCGGAATGACGGAGGAAATATCTTCATGTTTTCTTTTGCGCTTTTCTGAACCTAGGATGGAAGACGGTGGAAGAGCCGCAGCTGAGGGTTTTGACTGACAAAGTTCCAGTTAAAATAACTGAAGAAGACAACAGACGACACACGTACAGATCCTGACGAAGACTTGAATAATGCATCGAGCTCCGTATCGACCACAGCTGTTTTACGACCATATGTCTGTAAAAATGATGAAAGAGCCATGATATTAGACGCCGGGTCCAAATTCGGCAGTCGTCCCCGGGCGCCTAACGGCAATCACCAGGATCGCGTCGCGTCGCGTTCGGTACCCTTCGTATTGCCAGCTCCCCCCGCGCGTTTTCACTACGATCAACTTTCCAGTTAAACATATTACAACTTTTACTCCTGCTATAATTCTGTTATTGGATATTGTCCCAGCCAGAATTGGTTTACCCACTCGCGCAAGGCCAAGGCCAGCCAAACTCCCTCGCTCTCCCTGCTTACTCGGATCAGGAGTCAGTGTTCGGCTAAAAATATTTACAGCCATCTTATCGGCTATCGATGCGGATTCGACTACAAAAATGTTGTCTTCACGGGATAAATTAACAAAGTAATCAAGTCCCTGTCGATTAGTGGTCAAATCATCGTGTTGTGGTAATTGTGCTGTTCCGCGAAGCCGGGAGCTCGAATCTCCCCAGGGACAATTTTTTCTAATGACTTGTAACCCTCCGACTTTTTTTTATTGAGCTTTAGACTAATCGCCTCAGCGTAGAGGATCAATTTTAGTTACCATACTCAGAATCATGATATGTTTTCGATAGCCCGCCTATAACTGAGCTTACCTTGTTTCTATCTTTGACAAATTGCATTTCAATTTTCAAAGCTCCACAAATTTTACGGAAACTCATCCCCACATCGAAGCTGCGTCATCGAAATGTACGAGAGTTTCTCTTACACACAATTGGAAAGACAAAATTACGGTAAACCGGCGGACAAGTTGACTCCTCAAACGTTTCCCGCTGCATGATCTTCCAAGGGTATCAATATATTGAACACGTTGGTACAGACATAAAAGTACACTATTCTACATAGCTGAAGAAAATTTCTGATATAGCTTGGGAGAACTGGAAGTGGAATGGTCGAAGGAATAGAAATGGGCCAAGCCTATATCCAAAATCCGAACGCTCATAACTAATGTTACAGATCCTGATAAATAACGTGCCCATCTACTGTAGGTGGGCAGACCGTGACAAGGGGCGGTATAAATGAACGAAATAAGTTACAAGGGTTGAAATGAGTGGCTTTCGAAGACGGGAAATCAAAGGAATGTAAACGTCCCGAATAAATAAAGATAAGCAGACTCAAATCCAAAACTGGAAAGCTTAGCCCAAAGCCGCAGCCGCGAGTGATAGCAAACGAAGGCCCCGGGCTTTCGAATACATGTCTGCGAGGATGTTTGTCGCGAAAGCATCATCAATGATTGGGACAGCGAGAGCTACAGGAGACTTCATCGCCGATTCGTCTATCTCTTCCAGGGCCTCCATTTCCACATCGGGGTCCGCTGTTGTTTCTGATTTCGCAAATTCAGAACGCTGAGGAAACAACATATATCTTCGGTTAATCTTACGAGTAAAATATTGAGCATATCGAAATACTAACCTTCATCGGAACTCCGGGGTGCCTCTTACCGCGATGTTTGAACCATAGAGTCGCGTAGTACTGTCTCCTACTGTCGATTTGGATGTACTTGTGACAAGGAACACACCACACCCTGTCAGGGCACATCCTGGTCGGATCCAACAAAGGATCACTTTCCAATTCGGCCTTGCGCACCAGCATGCGGCGTTCCTCCGCTTCGACTTGTTCCAGAGATTTCGTCTTTTGCTTCTTGGGCCGCTGTAAGATAGACGTGTGTGGCTCCTCGTAGTCAGCATCCGAAAAGTGCTGAGTATGCCTGCGACGAGTAGTGGTGAAGGTAGCCTTCTTCTGTTGGTGACGCAACAGAGCAGGAATGTTAGCGTTTCGAGCACGCACAAGGATGTGCTCAGTACTAGCTTTGGAGTTGTACTTGAACTTCGAGGACTCAAAAGAGAACTCAGGGGAGGAAGACCGATTGGTTAAAGCAGAGATCCGGCGCCTAGGGTCGTAAGGAACGGAAGAAATAGAAGAGGAGGAAGAGATAGTGCTGAAGCTGTCTACGGACGAGATCGCACTACTATCAGAAGACTCGTCGCTGCAAACGCTGGGGCTTTGGCTAAAACCCCGCATACGAAATGCTGCATCCAACTCCGGACTGGAAGGCCTGGCAGTGACCGTCCTAATTTAATAAGCTGTGGATAGGAGGCACTAAAGTAGAGGGTACCTACCTAGGGGAAGCTTGTAATGACGAAGCTAAGGATAACTTGCAAGACATGCTGCTCTATTATTCTGCGAGAGGATAGAATGGGGAATCCTCAGTAGCGCAGGAAGTGGTTGGATGTGAATCGACCTTTCGAAATTGGATTCCTCCATCTTTTAAAACAAAGCAACTCGGAGTTCGGAGACAGACGTAAATAGGCCTCACCGACCTTGTTTGCAATTTGGATTCATTTTCGATTAACCGATTAACCTAGTCAAAGACGTTAACTTAGACATTGGTCATCGAATCTGGTTCCAAATCGATCGTCGTTGAATCGTCGTTGAACATTTAGGTTGTTTGAAAACAAGAGTCTATTGAATCATTGTATCAGAAATACGGATCAAATGGTATTGCCGCAGGTTCATCTCATACTTCCACCAATTCATATTATATTATAATTATGGTCAATAATAAGCTTCATTGATTTACAGAGCTCTTACAGCCTATGGCCAGTGGAGAGAAGCTACCCTTTCTCCTACGTTTAGGCTCGGTGAGGAAGTGGCCTCCTAAAAGAAGTTTCACTTGATTAGCCATTGTACCCTGGACTGTACCTTACGATCGACATGAACTCGGTTGTGCCCACCGGGATGTATGCACTCCGAACTCATCAGGTTGTTCAAATGACTACGAGACATAGAACGCCACTTGATAAGGATTGACTATTGACTCGTTGATTCACAGTATTTCACGAAGCGTTCGCTATACTTTGGTATTGATGATCCAAGTTGTAAACATTGGAGGATGGCAGAGTCAGTTGGCCGATGCTGTAAGCAACTCTCGGGGCCGGGGAGGAACCGTTCAGCTCGTTCAACTTGGAGGCAGAGTCGTAAAGCAGATCTAAGGGCGCTCCATGATCGATTCTTGGCGTTCAGCTGGCGGTTTCGTTATCTGCGGCTCTGGTCATAGGAAAGAAGAATCGAGAGCATAGCGGGCGTCGACACTTCTCCAGGCTACAAGCTCTGGGTATTTTGTTCGCGACACAAATAAAAATACGCAGCAGGTACCATCCGGTAAGGGGCAAAACGAACTTCATGATCGTTGCATTTCCTGCTGCAGTGGACTCTAAGTCTGCTCCGAGTGTGTGCAAAATTAAGCGTGAGATCGGCAGATAGCAGATAAAGACTTGAACATTCTATGTCAGCTCAGTTTCAAAGGGGTGCGCGCATCTTCTAACTCGTTGGGGATAAAGAGAAAGAAAAAGGAAAAAAAAAAAAAAAAGAAAAAAAGAAAAGAAAAAAGTTTCGCTCAGAGGAGCCACCGGACCTTCGACAAGACGATTTTAGTTCGATAACCTGAAACTGCAGATTCAAGAGCCACAAAACCGATTTTTGGTCATTTTAGCTGTCTGTGCTTGCTAAGTCAAGGTTGGAAATTCATTTATTCAAGTGATAAAGGTTGAATCTTTGTACGACAGCGGGTGCAGGAAAATGTATCACACCAGCCATTACATGAGAACTCCTAACAGATTCATATATAGGAGAATTTGTCTGAAGGGTATGTGGGCACTCCCCTCAGTAGAAAGTTCGGATATTCCATTGATCTGGCGTCCGAGAATAAAACTCCACTAGTCCTGTATCTAGCGATTACCACATTTGTATATCGTTCGGACGCGTAACGTTGACAGTCGCAACGACCACTACGTTCCGATCGTTCAAGTTGAGTCAGAGTCCAAGTAGAGTCAAAGTAGAGTCCAAAGCCACCGAGGTCTATTACTACGATATCGATCATGATCAGGAACTGAGTTGTTCAGATAAGTAGGAGCCTACTTGGAGCCTAGAGCGTCTCCTTCCAGAAAGTGTCTAATTTAATTGTACCACCCCAATTCGCTAAAAAACAAGAACAAATGTGTGAGTTGCAGATCTCATCAGTCGGATAAAGTCATAATTAGTCAAGTACTGGCGGTGCATCGTCATTTGATTTTCAAAATACCATCTACCATGTAGAAATAAACACAACGTAGCTTCCTAGTTTCGATATGTAGAAACTTGGAGCCAATGGAGCTGCTACACTCGGCTGCTCTGCAACGAAAGCAAATTTTAAAAAAACCAAGTACGAAAACCCACCTACTTAGTGCGGCCAGCTTGTATAGACTCCATCCAAGGACAGGTAACCTACGAATATTGATTCCATTTAGCCAGCCTTCGACTTCAGGTCGTTCTCGTAACTGCAGCTTTGACCGGGGAGTGCAACCGGTCGTCCGTGCCGCGGCAGATCTTTCTCACTGGCCCGACTATCGGACTTCCGTCGAACTAAAGCAGGAAGTTTTTCCCTACCCATTACTGACGATCTTCATCCGCCTCCTTCACCATGTTACCACCAACAGAAGCTAAGGGTCTTTCTTTCGTACTCCTTGAGCCTGGCCCGAGGGTGGACGAAGCAGAATATCATGGTCTGTTATCAACCATCTTTATTTACGTGAGAGTCAGGTCATTTATTGCTTTCCAGATTGGTACGATACCGAGCATGCTCCTGCCCGACTTACGATTCCAACTTTTTACAATGCCGCTCGTTTCAAGGCAGTCGATGGACAGAAACCTACCTATCTGACGTTGTATGACATTTCTGAACCCAGTGTGGCAGACGGCCCTGAATACCAGGCTGTCAAAGCAAACGGTTCGGATAGAGACAAGCGTCTTCTTGGGGAAGTCCAGTACTTGAACCGAAGGGCTTACTCCACAATCTTCGCTTCCACTCTCTCCAGCGCTTCAGCCTCCGATTTTCCTCCAAAGTTTGTCTGCTATGTGCAAATGGAGGTCATGCCAGAAGGAGAGGCTGAATTTAACAAGTGGTATGAGGTGGAACATATACCCATGCTATCCAAGATTCCTGGTTGGCTGAGAAGCAGGAGATACGTTCTCGGAAACAACATGCTGCGAACTTCCGAGGATCTCGGAATTCCCGTGCTCAAATACATTGCTGTCCATGATTTTTCAGTCGGAAAGTATTGGGAAAGTCCTGAGTGGAAGTCAGCTACCAGTACTCCTTGGCGAGACGAGGTTGTGAAAGGAGTTGTGGGTAGAGAGATACGACACTTTGAATTATTCAGAGAATACAAACGCCCCGAATGATGGACAAAGATCTCATGTAATAACAAATGTATGTCATATTCCAATGTTACAAATTTCTTTAGCAAACTCTCGGATTATTTCACTCTCTGACAGATACTGTCATTTTCCACCGTAAGCTCTGACTCCTGCTTTTGGTAACGAACAAGACTCCATGGTCAACAAGATCGAGCTTCCAGGTAAAGTATACTAAGCCTAGATCTAGTTCTTCGTTACGCAATGCGTATTCTCAAAATACCA